GACGAGTTTATTTTCAGCAGTTCATTTATACAATTTCAACCAGCTAGAGTGTGCATTCCTTCACGTAGGCAAAGGCATTGTCTTCTAAACTTAAGACCACCTGATAGCGTGTAGTAAAATCATTAACTTGTGTATTGTTCCCATAAACCGCCATAGCCTTAGATCAGTAACTTGTATGCTGACTGTATCTTCTTGCCCAAAGGCCATTAGTGTCTCATTAGCATAGGACGCTCCTGAGGTTTTTAAGATTCCTTGGCGCAAACATCTCAAAGGGGTGGCGGGACAGAGATTGTCTTTGATAGATCAACCTCAAAGCCTGACGCTAGCACTCAAGATTTATTATCCTGTTTTGTGCCGGCCGTCCTCAGGTCATGAGTGGCTCCCCACACTAGATTGCTCTGTGGTGCCCCAGAATGTGGGGGTGTGGGCTGCCCTGGGGAAACCACACACCTGCTCCTTCTCTTGTCTTTGTGAGTCTTTTTTCCCCCCAATAAACACTGTTCTAGAACTTCTATTATGTGTGCTGTTTACCTGACATATATTCTATCTTATTTCAAAATGACATAAAACTTTGGCAAGTGGTTATTATCTTCCCACTTTTTTCTGATGAGATAAATGAGGCTTAGGTGTGTGTGAATGCCAAGGAATTCCTTCTGACACCAAATCTGGCCTTCGTGCTCTTGTATTACTAGAATCTCCAATCTGTATGCGGTGGGGTAATAGTTTCAAATAACACCTGACATATTTTCCTTCTTTAGAATTAAGTTTTCCCCCCCGTAATTCTCTTGCCATAAATTCTGGGGATGAACCTATTGAATTATGAATCCTGGAGAAATGAATCTTCAGGACAACGGAGACTGCAAAAGAATCCAATGAGACCAAAAATTCAAATTCTTGACTTTGCATTTTGAAATAGACTTACAAAGGCTTAAGAGAAGGTATCCTAAAAATGAAAGCATTTGTGAATTGAAAGAGCCAAGCGCCTGATCATTTTCTCTTTTGAAAATTTGCATGTCAAGAGCAGAACTTGAGGTTTCAGGGTAGTTTTTATCATGAATCCTGCCTCACAACCCTGAGCTACTAATGCTGAAGATAAAAAACACAAGATAGTTTAGCTTTCCAATACAAAGGGAAATTGTGTCGGTTTTCTGTCTGGAACTCTGAAAGGATCCAGCTGTGCAAAATGATATTCTCCAACATATTTCAGCCACAGTTGAGTAGAAATAGCCCTATGGTCTATTGAAATACTGTTTTCCAAACATCTGAAAATATTTTGCTTGTTTGATAGAGTTCATAAAAGGTAGCTGGGAATTGAGAACGGTTGTACCAGCCAAGAGGATCTTACTAAGGAAGGTGCACAGTGTATGGGCCAAGTGAAGGATATGGTTGAATCTCAGGGGATCAACACTTCCAGCAAGAAAGGAATTGGGAGTCAAGACAGCTGGGAGAGCTAGAACTTGCATGCCGTCTTAGAGGTAGTCCTAGAAGATGCCACATGACATTTATACTTATATTTCACTGACCAGAACTTAGTTCATAGCCACATTCAGCTGCAAAAAAGTCTGGACAACACAGATTTTATGCTGCGGTAGAGTAAAGGAGGGAAAGAGAAGAGAATGGATTTGAGGGGAAAAAAACTGCAGGTTGCACCACACAGGAGGAAGAAGAAATGACTGATTTTCTGGAATTATGCTAAAAAGAGAGAACTTATGGAGAGCTGTAAGTCATAAATCATTCTCACCAAAAACATTGAAGCTAAATAAATTAAACAAAAGCCATTGCAAGAGGAACTTGATAAAATAAGCAGAAGAGTTCAACAATCCCCTCTTAGAATGTGACAGATTTATTTTTTTAAGAGTAGAGTTTTTTTAGGCATTTCTCTGATTATAGTCTGATTAATGTAAAATAGAAAAGTGAAAAATGTTAACTCTTTTGAGATGAAGAAATGAATTTCCAGATAAACCTTGGAGCAGGGACAAAATTAAAAGAAGAAGTAACCAAGGATGCTGAAAGCAAAGAAAAAGAAGAGCTCACACCAAAACCTGTGGACAGAGTGGAAGATTTATTCAGAGGAGAATTGTTCAACTCAGCTGTCTTTCTGCTAAACGGCACGATTTCTCCTTTCCAAAT